CCTGGGGAGAGGCAGGCACAGTCGGAGGAGTCGCCCAATCCGAGTCTCCAGATCAGTGCCGAATCTTCCGAAGCTGATTCGGCCAAATCGATTCAGGACAGTGATCTGAATCTCTGAATTGAATCACTGTCCTCCAAATCTGCTGAATCTGAATCAAATACTTCCATATTGGTACAGGCCTAGTTGCCACCACTCCAGGATCCATGCCACATTAGGGTCCAGACCTATTGAAGCAGTTGTTGGATCAAGTATGCCGAAAAAAAGGGAAGGGGAGGGTGGTCTATGGGCCCAATCCAGCTTGTGGACTAGCCCCCTGGAACTCATCTGGCCTTTGGGGCTGAATGAGTGTGACACTATTGGATTAGAAGTTACATCAGTTTCCTTGGTCTAGTGTCCTCCTTGTCTATCTCTTTTTGTGCAGGCATGGCTTCAGCTTTACCCCTTCCACCAGGCAGCAAGGTTACTAAATAGGTTAGCACTGTAGTACCGGATCCATTTGTGGATCCCAAGTGATTTAGAAGCCCAGGTCAAGAATCCATGGAAAATGTGATCCTAAATGACATAGATGCATCACAGCATTTTCATCAAATTCATATTGGCTATACGGTATTTTATTTTCTAAATTGAATTTAATACATGAGAACATATTTGTGTGTTTAAATGTTTGCAAAATCAGGTTCTTAGACTGTCTTAGTTGTTTGGATAGCACTTACTGCATTGTGGGAGGTACCAGAATACAAATAATAAATGCTTTCTAGTGCATCCACTCAGCTGCATGGAATGGAAGAGGGAACAAAAGATAAAAACTGATTTATGGTGATTCTCAAAAGGAGGAACAGCTAACACTTGTCAGCAGCAACGTGTTTATGGCCTGGTGCTATATAAGCAGCTGTTTCTATTTACAAAGGGAGTCATCTGTATATGTGGTATGGAAAATGTTCCTAGGAATTCCTACTAGAGGGAAATGACTGCTCTTACTAGGCATTGTTGGAAATGGTGTTGACTGTAGCATACACTATTTTTCTTCCTGGTTTAGTAATTTGTAGAACAGAGGCAAGACTAGGCCAACAGTATTCAGAACTATATTTGAAGTAGGTATGAAAGCAAAGCCCATAAGGAATATATATATTATTTTAGATGAAGTCTCACCAAAATGATTAAATATGATTTGTCAATAACTGAACAGCTCACTGATCATGACAAATAATTAGAAACAGCATAGGAAAATTTCAGAATTTATTTCATAATCCCACATCACAGTAACTAAGCATAATGTTTCTCATGGAGTCTCAGTTGTGCCTAGTGAGAAGGTAGTGTTTCAGTTCAGTCTGCAGTAGTGTTGCCATGTGTATCTGATACAGTCTTGCTCCCTTTTGGTTTAAATTAGGATTTATTTGGGTCTAATCTCTAGAAATCTCATGCTTTTTTCAGTTTGATGTCTCTTAGGTATGCTAAACATTAAAGATTTGTAAATTTTGATACTCTAAAAATGATTTATACTGTAATAAAAATAGAGATTACTATTAGTTTTTCGAATTATGTTTATTTTCCCCCTAGAAGAAATCATTATATTTGTCCTGTTAATACTTTCAATCAGCTA